CGTTTAACTGTCTGGCTGATGATCAAGATAGTCAAACGCTTCTGGATGGGTTCAGGATCGTCACATGGTTCGTCGTGCAACTTGACCAGTCTCGTTCGCGCCTGATTCCTGAAGGGTACCACGAGGACGCGAGTTGAGGTGATTGACAGTATGTTGGCATGGCAGTTCATCGCGTCTTGCTTCTCAGAAGTTGACCATACTCGGTTTGAGGGACTCCAGAGGTAGATGATGATAGGTTGGCCATACGGTCGCGAGGTAACATGCTTTGGGGGTTGCCTCTTGCGTACGAACAGAGGAGCCGACTGGTGGGTTCGATGCGAGGGAATCAAGTTTTCTTGTGTGGATGGAGGAGAGCTACAATCTTCAATGTCGCCGGCACCATTGGCCCCTTGAACCTTCTCATGACCGTCGTCTTGTGCCGTGGAGGGCTTGATCATTTCTTCATCTTGGTCTTTTTCGATGAGAGCATCCATGGCTCAGAGAAGCTTCACTATTACTCAGTGATTGAAAGCGGTCGACACAAAATGGAATCCGATCTCGTCGTTCTTGATCTAAAGCGATTGAAGACAGAATATCACTCCTATATATACCGGCTTCGGGGCTGGACATGAGGGGAGACGGATGACGTGTCCTTCAGAATTTTCTATCCTGGGTCGAATAAGAGAGGAAATATTCTAAAAATGACATTTTTGTGGTCGCGTGGATTCGCACAGAGTTGTCAAGGGGGGAATGATGTGTCAGAGTCGGCATCATTGATATTCACGTCACTCTCATTTATTGAGAGAAGACAATACTTCTGGATAAACAATATTCGGGTTTCAGCGCCCGGAGCGAGAACAAAAAGATTGTCCGGAGATCCGACCCTCGAAAACGCAACGTATAGTTGACCATGCGAGAAACATTGGGATTGCAAGCTTACTCCACAATATTGAATGGATTGACCCTGAGATTTGTTTATCGTCATAGCAAATGCGGCGCGTACCGGTATCTGAAGTCGCTTGAGTTGATATGGTGAGTCTGAAGGTATCATCGGTATTCGAGGAATTAGAACGATCTGCCCTCTTCCGATACCGGTCAAGATCTCTGCTCTGATTGAGTGATTGTGAAGAGCTGTCACGCAAAGCCGTGTTCCATTACACAAACTCGGTGGTTGGAGGTTTCGAAGCAGCATGATAGGACAACCAATCTTTAAACGCAATAGGTGGGGCGGAAAACCTGGCGGCGTTTGTGAATTCAAGAATTCAGTTGGATAGTGCACAGCATTGAACCGCCTCTCATGCTCACCAAGGGGTCGCTTATCAGCTCTGATGATGACTTTGAACTCATCGGTTGGCATGCTCTCCAGTGCGGTCTTGAAAGCTTTGATTAAAATATTGTGTCGATCAAAACATCGCTGGAGCATGGCCACAACGTCCTGCCGAACTTTTGATATGAGCGAACAACGCTCCTTGAGTTGAGAATCTTCACCTCCCATGAAATATATCTGAAGAAATTTTGGACTGGTATCCAATGTCGGCAGAAGGGAACCGATTCGGTGATAAACTTGACCCCGGATTTTGAACGTTGTCGGGATAAATGTCTCAGGCATAGGAGACGTGGTTCCGAAGGATGTCATTTGGAAGCAGGAGTTGTATCGCCGAATATTGGCGAGAAGATGCTTACTTTCTGGGGACGCTCCCGACATAAACCCTTGGATTTCGTCCGGAGGAGGTTCCAACCGAGGGAGATGTACCGATCCGTTTTTACAGCACATCCCAGGAGGCTCCTCCGGAAATTTTTTCGCTCCACAAAATCGACATACATTCCCCAAGGAACCAATGAGGATTTTCGGATGCTGAGAATATTCTTCGGAGTGATCATAATGGAAAGCCGCGGAAGTGAGATTCCTTGAGGGACGTCGGCTCTGATAGACAACTGATTCACCATCACGATTATCATCCGTGGTAAGAGACTCTCCCGAAGTTGATTCGGGAACTCGACTCTCATAGGGAACGTGCAGAACTTCCGTAGTCGAAGTTGAAGGAGTAAGCTCTCGGGAATCGCGTGAATTGAACACGGCTCCTGCCAACTGTCGTTGTCGGCGAGTCCTAACTCCTTCAGTGTCAGACTCTCCAGAAGTTGGAACTGGACGTTTCCGGTTGTTTTCAGCAGGGGGTCCTTCCGTAGTTGCCAGTTGTCTCCGTGAGCGAGTCCTCGCTCCTGACGGAGTCAAACGTCCTAACGAAGACCGTTTTCTGAGCGGCATTAGTGACTTCTTAAGCCTCCTTGCAGAAAAACGAAGGGTTTTCGTTGTCAGAAGAACCTAGACCTAGAGTACGGGTAGATCCGAAGAGTGCGCGAAAAATGAGTGAGCCAAATTTGTATTTCGAAGAAGCTACTACATATTGTAGTTCGGGGGAAACTTCATTGTTGAGAGCTACAATCACGTACGTAAAGTAGTTATCGAGACAGTGCGTTGGTTCGGGACCAGTCCTAAAACATGCGGCGGGGAGCAACGGATGTATTGGTGAAGTTTCATCTGGATCTTTCGCGTATGAACGAATCCAACCGCGTTCAAAGAGGAGGGGGACGCGCCTTATTAGTATATATAGAATATAGATAGATAGATAGATATAGATAGATACATAGCTCGGAAGATTCTGGAGGAGCAAAAGATTCGATTGAGGCGACTTATCGTGGCAGTCAGTGAAAATCGTTTTCACTATGAGATGATGTGATAACTCCGCTTCGAAAAAGCATCAAGATCGAGGATACCCGCGAGGAGCGATGATGATGGAGAAGATATAAGGAATCAGGAATCGAGGCCAATCTCCTCTCAAATTGAGCAAACCCTTAAAAATGAGCCACTACAGATATTCTTTCGCAAAATAATCATTCGGGATCGAGTCTGGAGCAGGGAATCTTGACAGAGCGATGACGTCCTCGCTACGATGACATCATGCAGGAATAAGCACTGGGAAAAAGGTGATTTTCCTGACGTATCTGAGGTCAGGCGTGGATAAAAGTATCTACTTGCACTCCGCGAGGTCTTTCCGCGACCATCTCATTCGGAGCGACCCGAAATGAACAACCCGAAACACTCGAAAAACGGCGAACTGACGGACGGACATAGCGATTTTATATTAAAGGGGAGAGGGGGGATAGGGGGGATTGTAGGGGGGATCGTGAATGATCCCACATCATCTACACATGCAACCTTCGTGTGACACACGCAAACGACCGGCCTAGCAAACAGAGGTGAGATGAATTCGTGGTGCATTCAATACTTCGACCAGTTGATTCATGACGATTTCGAGTTACCGTAAATCTTCTATTAGAAGCCCGGGCTTCTATTTTTTCCGAGTGCCTTCTCAGAGGGGCTTGTATTAGAGAGGGGCTTCTATAGGAGGGGGGCTTAAAATTACTCGAACCGCAGAACCCTGACGATCGAGTAATGGAGAACTGCCGATGCTTTGAGATAGGAGAGAAATCTCGTCCATTCTTCGAGAAGCACAGCTCTCCTGAGCCTTAGCCGAGCGCTACTGTGACCGCATGAGATACTAAACGAAGTTATTCGTCTGAGAAGCGACGTTTGCGTGTTTAGACACACAACAGTGTGGAACGAGAGTCTCCCGTAATCGTTGTGCACAGATTGACGTTTCGACTCGGGTGACGTCGGTGCTCTCTCGGCTCTCCACGATGAGGGGGAAATCTTCCGGAATAGCACGGTTACGTGCGATCTCGTACGGAAGAGGGGCTACTATTAGAGAGATGGGCTTCTATTGGAGAGGGGCTTCTATATTTACGATCCTCCCCGAGGGGGGGCTTGTATTGGGGAGGGGCTACTATTAGTGACAGGGCTTCTAATAGAAGATTTACGGTATTCCATGAGTGACTACAGAACTCCTCGACGCTCGAAGAAGACGGTGCCGTTTCATCGCTCGGCGCTCGGCTCGTCTGATCTCAACTTGGATTCCTTCGGTGTTCGACATGGTGATCGATTTAATACTGAGGAGCTTCGCCTCTGCTGCCTTTCTTGAAGCATCCTGCGCACGATATGTTCCGACCAGAAATGGGCTTCGAGTCAGAGACTTGATCGCGACATTTCATATCAGAAGACGGAAGACTTCCCGACCGATCCGGATGACCATGGTGTAGGGACGGCGCGTGGAACCGGGAGCTACTCGAAACCACTTCTGTACGAGCCCGTACATTCCCTCGAGCCGAAAGATCAGTGATAATCGTATTCTAGGATGTACACAAGAGTTAGACCTACAACTAGTGACCTCACCGGTGACTTATTGTCTGAAACGACGTATTTTACAGACGGAATGTATAATATGGAATGGTCAACGAACGAATCAATCCGACTTCCGCAGCTGCCGAGGAAACTTCACATTTTCAACTCTGCAGTTTTGCACTCTGGGTAGGATTTTCTCCCCGGAGCATTGTAATTGTATCTCCATCGCTCTCTCTAGATTGTGACGCTCATTCTTTCGCTCAGCCACTCGCTTATTCGCTCGCTGAGTAGTGAATTTCCTTCAACCCAATGCTTGAAACATACGGCAGCGAATGAACACCTTCGATCATTTCACTGTTCAGAGCCGCAGCGTTCATCTAGACTTGGATAAATATCGAAGGTAGAGGCAGCGAACTGAGAAGGCAAATTGTCGGAAATGCCGAAATGCTTCCTAGGGGTGACTGGTTCATGGATGAATTCAGAGCGAAGGCTAGACACAAGGAGATTCGTCGTTCAGCCGCTAGCGTCATTCCGTCCCAGCTCATTAGGCCTCCAGATTTTACGCATTACAGGCACGATCAAGGTAAGTTGTGTCTGGTGGGTACCCAGAGAAAAAATGTGTTGCGCGGCGTAAGTCTAGCTCCGGCCACTCGTCGACTCAAAGTTGCCTCGAGTTCTGCTCCGCCATCGATTCCGCCGCAGGAACATCCGATAACTGTCTGGCTGACTTTGGTACTCTCGAGTCTCGATACGCAGTGAAGCTCCCGCTACCCTGGAATTGATGTGTCTTGGAATTTCCCTATCGATTCTGTGAGTTCTAAGCCTTGCGCACATTTGTTTCCAGTGGAAATCGTCAAGGTCGCGTCAATCATGGAGTGGTGGCAGATTGTGGCTCTCGCCGCTCT